ACCAGACCAGTACTACTGCCCACGATGGGGCTGTGAGACCACGGGTCAGACATACTGGTTAAGTAATGCCCGTGGGGACTACATCACCCTCAAACGAGATGTGACAGGCCCCCCTTGTACGCCCAAGGGAGCCCCTCCCTCTCCTCCTCCTGGCCCAACTCTACCTACAGGATTTACCAAAAGGCCTCCTAAGCCTTTGTCTCAGATCCGCTATTACAGGCGGTCACAGGAATTTGTTAAAATCATAAATCAAACTTATAGCCTCTTAAATGTAACTAGCCCTGAATTGGCCAGATCTTGTTGGCTCTGCTATACTGTTACCCCTCCCTATTTAGAGGGGATTGCTACTATGGGTTCCTACAACGTTTCCCATAATGTCTCCCAATGTGCATGGGGTACGATACCTAAAATTACTTTGGAGCAGATTTCAGGATCGGGACTATGCCTCGGTGAGATTCCACTACAATACTCTTCCCTCTGTAACCAGACCAAGAATCTCTCTGAGTCAAGAGGGGCCTTCCTTATTCCCCCTCCAAATACTTGGTGGGCATGCTCCTCAGGATTAACCCCTTGTATTTTGGTAGATGTTCTTAAGGAAGGAGGTTTTTCCCGATGTGTTCTAGGAGAACCCCAGTGCTTTTAGCCGTGACACTTGCAACCTTAATTAGTACAGGTGTAGCAGCAGGAGTTGGCACTGGAGCCACTGCCCTGATACAAGGGAGGGACCAATATAATGCTTTGCGCACTAGCCTGGATTTAGATCTACAAAGAATAGAAGAATCCATAACCAAACTGCAGGACTCTATAGGATCCCTGGCTGAAGTCACGTTACAGAATCGCAGAGGGCTGGACCTCCTGTTTCTACAACAAGGGGGACTGTGTGTTGCCCTGAAGGAGGAATGTTGTTTTTACAGAGACCATTTAGGTATAATAAAGGATAACATGACAAAGATACGAGAGGGATTAGAAAAACAAAAGATAGAAAGAAAAGCCAGTCAAGGGTGGTTCAACTCTTGGCTTAATCAAACTCCTTGGATGTCAACCCTTCTCTCTGCTGTTGCAGGGCCCTTAATTATCCTTCTCTTGCTTGTCACGATTGGGCCCTGTATAGTAAACAAACTGCTTA